ATAATAACCCTTGCCCCCCCTTACTTTAGGAATAATGTTCAGGACCATAATTTTGAGGCTCAATGCTAACACATAACATCCTTCGGTTGTTATTGTATGTCCATTCGTTCATATACTACAATTCACATGTCAGCTAAATCCATTTATGATTTCTATACTTGCTGTCTTAGTAGGGCTTAAATAGATATGTGGTGTGAACTTTGGTCAAAATAAGTATTTTAATGATCCAGTAGACAATAATTGCAACTGTTGTTTTACATAAGAGACATGCTCCTAGTAGAGGAAATACTGTACCCCTCATTGGTCCTCATTCAAGATAAATAGCTTTATTTTAATATATGTAATTCATTAATATTTTATGTTTTAATTTTTGGGTGTGTCTGCTAACCATGAAATGAATACATACTGTAGAATACAGTGGAATTAATTTTTCGCTGAAGGGGCTTTTTGGGTGTTTTGTTTGGAAATTATTTTCACTGATTTTTGACAAGTTGAATGTGAAATATAGGAAAAAAAGTATATTTGCTGGATTCCATTTTTTCACTGAAGCATCCCTTCAGTAAAAATAGCAAAAATAAAGTATTCTACAGCACTTGTAGAACTTACATAAATTCTTGTACTGGTCAGTTTGATACTTACCTTAAGTTTAATACAAGCCTGTGTAATCTCAATATCAATTGGCATTTCATCATCATTATCACCTTTCTTCTCATCTTCTACAAGATCTACTAAACTTGTTAGTGTTGACATCAACAGCTGAGTGTTTAAACCATTAACTTTCAAACCAACATGCTTTTTAATGGATGTACCAGGGCAGTATTTCTCAGCACACGAGCCTAGTGACAGACGTAGGGATATCGCCGGGTTCTCTGATTTAGCGAGTGGAGGAAGCTGTTCATCTTTCATTCGGTTGTTATCTGTAAATTACAATTGTAGTATTCATGGTGTTATACAGTACCTTTAATGTACCACATAATGGGAACTTGCATACTATCACCTCTGTAACGTCTGTTTTGATAAATTTACTCTCTTTGGATAGACGTATATTTATTGACAACAACTGATGGCGGCCATGCCGTTCAAGTATCCCATAATGCTATATAGTCATCACTATAGTAACATAACAAATGATGTCATAGGTCATGCATAAATAATGATATGGGACATTACAACCTCATTTTATGTCACATAACAAAACAGATTCAAATATTCAAAAAAACAAAGTCAAGTTCTATTATTTACCTGCAACCCACTGATCTACAAATTCAGTATAGTTTTTATTTCCATTTTCTTGTAGTTCCACATCTCCCAGAACAGTTTTCAATCCTGAATTGTCACCAAACAGTTGAACACCAAGCTGGAGATCTGACAACTTTACTTTGATTATTGACACCTGAATATTATATTATTGAAAATTAACACAAAAAAATTAATGTTTATAAAAAATTTATTGTGAGGTTGAAGCTCAAAATAACACACAAATAATTTTTTTCATATTTGATAATAATTTAAGTGGTATTTTTTTAGCACAAAGTACTATTATAATCAATTGTGGCATTTCAATGACTATGGGTCTTTTTTTAAAATGACACTGGTGGCGCTATACAAATAATTACAGTTTCATGCAAATTGCTCAAACTAGTAAGATAATTATCCAATTTTATGTACCGAGAATTAGAAATTTATTTTGTGACACTGTTTTCCACTAAGGTCAAGTGATATAATCATCGCATGTTAAAACTTTATCACATGGCAATTTAATGGGAACATGCACAAACAGATCATACAGCTACAAAGCCCCACCCTCTGTGCAATATTAAAAATTGATAATTAGAAACGTACCAATTTAGCTAAGTCTTCTTTTTCAGTTTTGGTCACCTCTGAGGATTCAGTATTATCACAGCAATCTTTTGTTGATGAAGTGCATTTCAAATTATCCTCCATAGTATTCATCTCTCCTGAGACAACGATCTCATCCTTATTCACAAGGTTTGCCAAAGAATTCATCGGTAACGCACACTCTGGTGCAGTTTTCAGCAGTTCTTGCTCTTTAAAGTCATTTCTTCTATTTATATCTGCTTGCTGAAACTCACCGAAATCATCCGTATCATCAAACTCGGCAACTGCATTCATTGCACCATATGACTGCACATCTGAATTGTGAGTGTTCCTAAGTACTTCCTGCTGTAAAGTCCTCTCACCCTCTGTGTTCACTACTTCATCTTTCTTCACCCCGAACCGTACACCATGTTGAATATCTAAAGACAACAATTCATAATCTGATGCCACATCTCCATTCTCTAAAGGATCTATTGAACTGTCCACTATCAGGACAGCTGGCTTTATCTTCGTGTAGTCAGTGACATCAACAGCTTTTGTGTTTGCATTCATTGCTTGTTCCTCATTGACATTAATCCTGCTACTTATGTCTGAGTTCATGACTGAATCTTGTATGTCACTTTGTCGGTTCACACAATCAGCATCTGTAGTAACATCAGCACCACAGGCATCTATGCCTGGACATTTCACTTCAGCGTTCATGCCGTTATTTTTATCTCCCTTTGATTCCGCAATGGGAGGAAGATTCAAAAGAACCTCAGCTGAGTGTAACCTAGCAGCCACAACTACACTGGAAACGGTCTCAGATTTCCCATGAAACATGACAATATCTTCTTCTATACTATCCGTCAGGGCCTGGAAAGAGTCTATTAACCTCAAGAGAAACATAATCTGAGGGTGGTTGATCATTACTCGTATTTTACCTTTCACTTCAACCAGGAGGTTAGTATCAGCAACATCATTGTCACATGTATCTACAGACTCTCCACTAGTAAACGATTGTTGATTCGCCTGAATGCGAGAGTTGCTTGTAGACACAGAACTGAAGGCACTGTCAGTTGTTGCGGTTGATGACATGCTCTCAGAGCTCCCTAGCATGGTACGCAATGACGATATGGTACTACCACCACTGTCCATTGTACCAATACCAGATGTATTTGAACTCTGTAAAGAGCTGTCGCTAAGTGCGCCTTTGATGGACGTATCTTTCATGGTCAGGTCAGACATAGACATACTGATGTTATCACTTGTTGGCGTGCTAGCTGGAGAAGTTGTTCCAAAAATTGGGTAACTTACAGATTCAGCTTTGCGATGACCATACAGGAGTCTCTTATTTTGATGCGATATCTCCCCATTGAGTTTCACAATGGAGTCATCTTTCACTGAAGAAACTTCTGGTATTTTGTTCTTTGGCAACAACTTTGCTTTATAAGATTGACTCTCTTTGGGAAGGCACGCCCAAATTGATATAGGCACGGCTTCAACAAGTGGTACCGGCCTTCCTTTGGCACTTTCCACACCGAGAAAATCCATCCAGACTTGATCTAGATGGGCACACCAGACATCTTCACTGGCTTGTGTGAAGAAGGACATCTTGGATATTGGTTGATTCTTTATCTTCTCATTTGTTCCCACACTAGCAATGTTTCCTTTCCCTTGAACGGCTACAGGGGAACTGGTACAATGCTTTGTACCTTCAGACTCTCCTGTCTTATAAGCATGGTTCCAAAGCATCTGCGATACCGCTGTCAGATCAGACTTTTCATTCGGATATTGTTGTTGATCTGTGAATAATGTTCCACCGTAGAGGTTCTGGATGGCTGATGCTAAGTCTGATCTGGAAGCTTCAGTTGCTATGCGGCAGTTAGAGAGAATAACCTGTGAGAACTGGATTTGAAGAGCATTTGGTCTGTCTGGCTGATCTGGTACCATCTTCTCAGCTGGTATTGTTATCTGATAATATGAATTTAACATTGTTAGTATATTTCATGTAAAACACAACATTTTCTATATGATAATCTGGCACTAATGAGATTAAATAGGTGATTTTCTGTTCAACTGTGAGATCTTGTGAGTGAAAGACACATGCTAAACGTCAGCAGCAAAATCAAACGATTTAATTTTGAACTTGAATTTCTTTATTTCATAGCTCACATCGAAAGCCCGATCTTTGACAGGGGTGTTTGAGTACCCTTACTTCAGCGAAATTGACCATCATCAAATGTGTACAGCACAAATGTATACATTTCCCAAAATACATTCACGTTTGTTGATCCAACGTGATGTTTGTTGCCACTACGATGCTATGACCTTTGTTTGTCCTGTTTTTTTATATTCAATTTCAAGAATAATGCAGGATCTTGCAGAGAACGGAAAATGGTCTATTCATCCAACTGTATTTTCTAGACTACATAAAAACAATAAAATATTAAATGTAACCAACCCTAGGCATCAAGGCATCTATGCGAATATCATTATGATATAATTCAGATAAAATATCACTTTCACCACCATCAGGTTTCTGGTAAAAAAATAACACAAAATAATATAAATAATGCTAATCATATTGTTAGACAGGAAATCGATATTAACAGCATCCAGACCATTAGGAAAATTCATTGATGTTCGGTAAAAGTTGTTTATATAATGCATTATGTAAATAAGCCAATAGTATCCATTCAACTCTTTTTGGCACATGTTAATTATGCATGTAGAACAAAACCTAAATTTGTTGCATTTCATCACTACTTGGTGTTCATATCTTGTGTACTCACCATCTGTACCCCAGATGCCATGTGGTTTGCAAACAGATTGATCCATAGCACCGTCATGTAATCCATCTCCAGCTTAATTGGATTCAGTTTTACATAGATGTTAGGCTGCGGAACTAAAACACAAAAATAAATCATCATCATGATTTAACCCTTGTCCAGACTTTACCCAGATTTCACCCAAATATACAGATTATACCCAAAGTCTATCCAGATAACCAAGTATTATATAAATACCCCAAATTTCTCCAAATTTTACTCACATTCTACCCAGATTATACTTGAATTATAACCAAATAATATCGTAATTATACCCAGATTACACATGAATATACCAAGATTATCATAGTACCCAAATTATACCCAGATTACACATGAATATACCAGGATTATCATAGTACCCAAATTATACCCAGATTACACATGAATATACCAAGATAGTACCCAAATTATACCCAGATAATATGCAACTCCAATTCAATAGTATCCTACAATACATAGTCTTAACAACTGTTTTCTGTTTGTCCATGAATCACATACATACCTGGATATTCCAAACCATCTAGGAAATAATACGATGTGTATTCCACATGCAAAGAAGACATTTCTGGAGGTAGAGAAAACGCTTCATTGTCAGATGACAGGAATTTCTTATTTGAATTAGCTGACTCTTCTGTTGTCACAGCTGAAATTGAGAAGTCATCCAGTCTAACAACCACACATGATTCCATTAACTTGGGCTGCCTTTTCGGTCTTGGCGGAACTGAAACGTGCTGGGGGGCCCTTGGATGTTGTTGACCTCTGTACTGCTGATGATGGTTGAGTTGTTGTATTCGGTTGTCACTTCTAGTATGTTGACTTGACAGATCAATCCTTTTACCTGCAGCGTATTGCACATGATGACTTCTAACCTGTGGTTGACTTCTACTTTGGAAGTTTGCACTTGTCATCAAGCAATCGGCTTTAGCTTGTCTGCTGTTTATAATCTCTTGTAAATACGGTCTCCCCTGATCCTTGGCAACTTTCACTTGCTGTCTAAAGTTGGCTAAGAGATGTTTTACCCATGTATCTCGCTTTTCAATGGCATCAGATAACAAGTTATAATTCTGCCAGTGAGAACGGATTGTATCTGAAAGTTAAACATAGCATCACTATTAAAGTTGTACTGTTGGCAAATCTTTGAATGACTTGGTCAAAAATCAAATCTGAAAGTTACGCCATCCGTGAGTTATACTGTGCTGTTTATCGATTAAATGAAGTTAATTGTCTTCACTACAATAAATCCTGTCTTGAATTTCTGCTTTGGCTACTCACCAAGCACAACTAACCTAGGAAGTACACAAATGTTTGAAGTTGATAGTTGATCTATAAATCCCAAAGGGAGAGACCTAATGGATATACAGGGAACAGCTCAAGAGAAGGGTGTGGATCTCCAACTTATCTTAACGGGTAATCACATCGACATTCCATCTTTGATCGAAGAACAGAATATCCCCCGTGCATTCGAATATTTATTGATAATTTATGCTGAAAACTCAATCAGAATGAATCCACGGAACTGCTCAGTGATTTTCGGATATTGGCAGATATCTGGCAGGTAGCTGCTACATTTATTTCAGTATAAATACATGTACACATATTACTCACATATTACTGACAATACAACTTTAACAGCTTGTAGACAGGAATTCTATTTGGCATGTCCCATCAGCATTTGTTAGAAATTATGTCACAAAGCATTATGTCATATGAATATTCATAAGGACGTTTGATGTGGACTAACGAATGAGTAAACGAAAACTCACGGCTACGTTCAGGCAATAAATTACCTAAACAAGCAGCCTATCGGCTGAGATAGCTCCACTGTTAGCAATGCACATAAAAGAACTGAAGACATCATTAGAAAATGAACAATATGTATAGTATCAAAGCAATCAGACTTACAGTTTTTAACAAGAAGTCGAAAATATTACTTTCTACCAAAAATGACAAAAATATTCACCAAAATTAGAGAATTGAAGATATCATCACGAAATGAACAAATCTGAGAGAGGTCCACATGTAGTACCTATATATGTAGTATCAAAGCAATTGGACTTGCGGTTTTTAACAAGAAGTCGAAAATATCACTTTTTACCAAAAATTACAAAAATATTCACCAAAATTAGAGAATTGAAGATATCATCACGAAATGAACAAATCTGAGAGAGGTCCACATGTAGTACCTATATATGTAGTATCAAAGCAATTGGACTTGCGGTTTTTAACAAGAAGTCGAAAATATCACTTTTTACCAAAAATGACAAAAATATTCACCAAAATTAGAGAATTGAAGATATCAACATGAAATGAACAAACCTAAGAGAGGTCTACCCAAGGTACATATACACCAAGTATCAAAGCTCTCAGGCTTGTAGTTTTCAAGAAGAAGTCGAAAAAGTAAAACATTGACACTGACGAACAATCACTCATATGATAAGCTCCGTTCGACAAAGTCGACAGCGGAGCTAAAAATGGTACAGCAAAGCAATGAAATTAGGGTAGAAAATGTCTTGATCGTTTGTGCTCTTTGTCATAATTTATTCGATGAGCTTTACAACATTTAGTAATAGTTAAAAAAGCTATAGAATATTATAAGGAATGACACTGAATTATACAATAAATGTCATACATATACTTACTATAGACGTGATAGGGATACATATCAACAGCAACATTTTTCATATTCAATTTCATGGCTCCACTTTCTGTTCTTCTTTTGAAAGTCTCTGTAAAGCAAAATACATATACATTTAGTGGTAGTCAAAAATATTAGCCAATCCAGAACCAGTCAGAGAAAATAGTGTGATCTGCTTTATGGTGAGGTTTTCATTTGCAATAAAATCACAATACATTGTACATCATGGGTGTCCATGCTGTGTTAAAACACAGACTTTGATGTGATCATGATCGGACTGCTAACCATTTAGCCACACATCAGATTGTACATTGAACACAACTTTATAGAAGAAATTATAAAAAATTTGTTTTCAAGTTTGTGTCCCGATAAAAGATATAAGCGGTAAAAAAACAAAAGTAATACTCACCAACTTTCGGTTTATTTTGTTCATCAACCAAATGCATGTTGATAATTTCTACAGCAATGTGGTAAGAACTTTCAGTTATATCGTACATATCAAACCGATCATTTTGAACACTCTGCTCACTTCCTGGAGTCTTTGATTTGGCCTTTTCCTCCATATGCTTGGACTGTAAATAGAATATACATTATTGTTATGGTTTTGTCTTTGCTGATGAACAGAATTGTTCTGAGGACAATCTTTACTTTGTAGGTATTGAATATATGGCTTATATGTATGTATAGTTATTTACTATACTGTACGTATATCCAAGATTTGGCTTGTGCATTTTAAGTTAGAAGCCTACTTGGTCATAAAAAACATGACATTATTCATTCATTCATTGCTATTATGTAAAATCCTGAAGCTATGGTCCCATGGCACCATAAAATACTATTTCATTGTGTGCTACAATGACATAGTTTGAGAAATTTGCCCTAATATTTGTCACAAATCACTATTTTTAGAACAATTCTAAAGAAAAATATATCTTGTTTACATTTTTTTTAAACACAGATTTTTGAAATAATTTAGGACAACAATAAGTAGCCCATCATTAACAATATATAATTTTTGCAGTATCCTAGTAATAACCTTATTATTATACATCTTTTCCTTCCAAGAATACGGGTGATCACTGCAATGCTACTCCACACCACACATCAGTCACTCATTCACTCGCAATGTAAATGAGTTCAATACAATAATATTTGATGGATTAAAACTAGTTTCTTTTTTAGTTTGCCATATGAGATTGTGGAAACCATTTCCAGAAAGACATTTTAAATTATTCAGATTAACGGGCCAGTGACTTTGAAACTATCCCGTTCACTGTAGATTTTTCTCCCAATTTTCCGCTTTTTAGAGGCAGCAAATCCACTGGTAATGACAACGCTACAAAATAATAACAATAATGAACTCCCCAACAACCCATAATGGACTCAAGCACACTTTGTGCTCCATATATGTACTCGGCTCACGCCTCAAACATATATGTCGCACAAAGTGAGCTTTCGCCTATTATGGGTTGGCGGGATTGTTCATTTGTATATGCACTTCTGATAGAGCAAATATGAGATATTTGAAAAACATTTTTTAAAGAGAAAAATCATGACAGATGAGAGAAAGAAATATATACATACCTGAGACAAGATGTTCATGTCAGCTTTGACCAAATCCTGTGATTTCTCGTTCAATTCGACAATCATCTGAACAAACTCAATAGCGGCTTTTAGCTGCGTGTCGGTAAAAACTAAAAGAATATCTGTGAGGACAAGGTGAATCTTTGAAGTGAGCACCATGCAGTCTTGCAACCTCTTCTTTATCGCGAATCGAATTTTACCTTCATGCGTTATTATTAGAATAGGCGTGGTCGTTTCATTTTGTACAGCATCTATGTTCACTCGTAACGTTTGGCACTCTGCTTCCTTAAAGATGAGAAGTTCTTCATTGTTTTTGTCTTTTATTCGGGTTTCATGTAGATCATTTGTGAATTCCCAGTCAGGAGTGGTGCTTCTTATGCTGAATTGAGACATCTGGAATCAAAGATTAACGTTTATGAAACTCATTTCGATCACAGTGCAAAATGTACTATTTTATTTAATGTGACTGGTTACCATTAAAACAGATCGTCAGACTTTTTTCAAATTTTATTAATGCAAAACATAATAACATTTTGTGTAGTGGTAGTATAGTTTATTAAAGTGACGTGTGACAATAAGAAAATATTCAGTAAATACATAGCTTGAAAATAAAAATCTGTTACACAGCCCAATGGGCTTACAAGTCACTGGAGTCATGTATATGTACTCACATATACAGAGTGTATGTCAAATAAAGATATGTATGTATTATTCCTTATAAAATATAATATCAACTAATGTACTACACAAACAAGTTATCTCGTCTTTTCTGAAATGATCTTGTAATATATTTTGCTATCGCTCTAACATGGTTCACCATAAAGTTACTTATTTTTTCTATATCGGTTAACAAATTAAATTGGTTTCTGGAAATACTAAATACATTAAATAGCTGCTGATGTAATTCTGTGTATAATGGACAATATAGTAAGAAGTGTATTTCATCCACTGTTACATTTTAAGAACATAATTTACAAATGCGTCTGTCTACGGTTTCATGTCTATATCGTCCTGTTTCGATACGCAAAGGAAGTATACCGAAATGGAGCTGTGCTAAAAAAAATGCAATTATTTATTAGTCTCTAATATTTCTTTATTTAGCTAGGGAAAATGTGAGTGAAGTAAGTGCCATATCACAATGGATTTCAATTCGTTCATATAGCCATTGCCAAGCATTATGTCATACTATGCTATTGAAACAACTGTTGGGTAAAAAAATGCAGCATGTCATATGATACAGCTCCTTTGTTTTAGATGCATACTAAGAATTTTCAAGGTAATAAAAATATTCGCCAAAATGTGAAAATTGAAGTTATTGAAACTAAATGAATCTATCTTATTGATGAATCAATCTTACAGTGGTACCTACATGTTAAATATCAAAACAATCAAGCTGGTGGTTTTGAAAAAGGAGTCAGGAAGGTTTTTTTTACTAAAAAGTTATTTGAAATTGAAGCAATCTGACTGAGGTCCACCTAAGGTGTCTACATAATAAATTTTTGAAGCAATTGGGATAGCTATCTTAAAAAAAAAATAGCATTTTTTTACCAAAAACATTTACTGAACTTAAATAAACTAAATCACCTACATGTACATGTAAGGTACATTTCAAGCGAGTATAAAACAGTTACAGATGACAATTTTTAAGTTGGTGTCAAAAACGTAAAGTTGACACCGACCAGCGACAGACAATCAGTAATATGAATAGCTCCAATGAAATTAGCAGAGCTAAAAATGTCTTAGATCATCAGTATTTGTGACAACTATGAAACCTTCTATTTGCCAATTGTTTATTATATCTTCCGTAATCTTTTGAGTAATCACAGAAATAAAATGCATGCCTTCACTTCTTCTATATTCCAAAAATGTAAACAATGCAACATTACATGTTCAGTTTATAGAGAAGGCCTTAATTACAATTAAAAAAAATTTACCTGGTTGCTGCCTTAATTATTCAAAACATTTAAGTATGCAAATGAAATCCATTAGCTCTGAGACATTTAATGTGATTTGGATGTGAGGTTCATTTGAGCTTGAACCTTTGACATTTGCACAGGATGTAAGAATGGATATGTAAAAAACACTTCTGAAGGTCAAATAAAGGAGAAGTAAGCACTGTAAATGTTTAGATCAGTATGTGTATCTATCACATGATCATTATCAGTGGCCATGTCATAATCAGAATCTAAGATGTCATAATCAGTATCAATCTCCTAATCATTATCCATGACATCATTATCAGTGTCTGTATCATAATCAATACCATGTCATAATCAGAATTCATGTCATAATCTGTATTTATGATGTCATAATCAAATCCATGAAATCACAATCAGAGTCATGATGTCATAATCAATATCCATGTCATAATCAGTATCCATGTCCTAATCATTATCCAAGACATTATCAGTGTCTGTATCATAATCAATACCATGTCATAATCAGAATTCATGTCATAATCAAATCCATGAAATCACAATCAGAGTCATTGTGTCATAACCAGAATCCATGATGTCATTATGTGATTCTATCATGCTCTACATCGAGAATATTCATTGCAGACGATAAAACTTTGAACACCAGAAATATTGTCAGATATTGTCAGAAGCAAACACCACTGTCACTATCACTACTGCAAAATGTAATCTTATTCAGGAAATAACTGAAAATAAAATTCATAGTAAACATTACAGCCCTCTAGAGTTCAACCAGTTTGGTCATCATGGCGATTAAATTTAGTGAATGGTCATTAAACATAATATCTGGCTGGTGACAAAATTTCCTGTAACATAAAAAACAGCACTTCTATCCACAATTCAACACATGAACCAAGTGATAAACCATGCAGTATGTAGCAAAATGTTGCAATTGAAAGTGAACCTCATACCGTTAGTGAATCAGTGCCAAGCGATACAAGGGACATTGCATCTGATGTTGAAAATGAAACGTAGCCTGCTAAATTTAAGGCAAGATGGTCTTGCGCCTTGCCAATCAAGATAACAATAGGAGCAAATTTACTTACTTTGGTCTAGGAGATTTTTGTGGACAAAAATTGTATGTGATTATTGCACACCAGTTATAACATACATGTATATGGTTGAATAAATATCTGAATTAACACATAGATGTAACGGTAGTTGGTTTTTTGTATAGTTTATTATGTGTTTGTAAAACAATAAATTCTGGTGACCAGCAAATTTGTACTTGGCTGCTAAATTTTTCAATTAGCCACCAATAATTTGAGCATGATTGCCAATGACCACTAGGAAAAAGATAAATTTTGAGGGCTATTCTTATCTGTCCATGAAAGTAAAAATAATGTCAATCTCAATGCATGTAGAGCTTCATTATATGAGACCTTTCACACAAGATGATTTTTTATTTTTATTTTTTTTAAATATTTTGATAAGGATCTGTAACTAATGGGAAATTATGTCTATCTGGTTAGAAATTGACCAACAAATTATAGCAAATTACATAAAAATGTGCGAGACATTGCACCAATATATAGGCAAAACAAATGTATGGTATGCAAATTGGGGGTATGAGATCTTATCACATGTGAGTACACCAACAATTAACAATTATGGTGCAGACTTTCCTGTGATGTCATCATATGCATACACCTGCACTTCCTGGACCATTTCAGATATCAAATATCTCACTGAGATCCGGAATTTAACGACTTACCAGTACTGAAGCATGGAAGGCATCGGATTTAAAATCAATTAATATTTCATTAACGCTTACGTAGAGGCCATCAATCAGTCTGTCTGATAGGCTGTATTTCCCTCCAGAACTGTAAATCCAAATAGATTGCAAATTAATGTGTTTTTTGACAGACATTTACGTTGAAGATTTGTAATAAGATTATGAAATGGAGGAATGAGCAGATAGTCATTATGAGATGTTAGATAGTCATTATTTCCTGAATTGAAAATACTGTTTTACTGCTTCTAATCGTCAGAGAGTGAGAGCCATCAAGGTTCATTGTATGAACATTCAAATTT